AATCGTATCAAATAAAACACGTAGTTAACGTTAGGTCAGCTAAATGCTATGACGGAAACTAACAAAACCCAGCTGTTAGCTTCGTTGGCAATTGTGTCTGCAGGGATTTGTGAACAGACAGCAAACTGGTGTTCTGGCTAACTGTAACAGCAGCCTGCTAACGTAAACCTAGTTAAACACGGCTAACGCTTGCTAGTAAACTAGGGTAAGCTAACGTTAAGCTAGTTAGCTACGTTAGCTTAGCTTTAGGCTGCAAGCTCCTGAGTGATCAAATATGATCAATAAAAACATGCCAACTTAAATTCAGCAACTTACCAAACGTTATACGCGTGTTCTGGTTGTCCACTTTTTACCTAAACACAGCCGATCATCAGATTTCTCGGATCAGACGAGCTGTTTGCTGGCGGTTAGCCGTCTCACCCTGGCTTCTGCAGGAGCGAACAGTGCTGTCATTTGCTGTCATCACGAGGAGACCTGCGCAACCCGCATGCGCAAAGGCCTGTTAACGGAAGCTTTACCTACCAACAGAAAACATTCGTAAAAACATACATGCCTAACCCACACACAGGGGTGTAAAGTAACTAACTACATTTACTCAAGTACTGTACTTAATGTACAATTTTGGGGTTCTTGTAGCTCCCTTTCTCTAGAACTATCTTCCTGTTTTTATCAGAGGCAGAGGCAGTGTCTATACTTTTAAGAGTGTGCTGAATACCTTCCTTTCTAATAAAGCCTAAATAGTTAGAGCTGGTTTCAGATTATTCCCTATGTTTGTCTTCCTAGGTCCTACATTTTATGGTATTTAATTGAATAGTTTTATTATATTTGTATTTTCTTTTGTTTTATTTGGTTTCATTTTCATTTTATTGTACACTCTATCTTTTAATAATGTTCCTGTAATTGTATTTATCTTTTAGCACTGACAATCATGTTTGTTAATCTGTCAAACCCACTGAGACAAACGTGTTTTGTGATATTGGGCTATATAAATAAACTCTGATTTGATTTGTACTTTACTTGAGTATTTAAATGTTTGCTATTTTGTACTTCTAAATTCTACCCCTCTACAATTCAGAGGTAAAAAAGTGTACTGTTACTCCACTACATTTATTTAATCCCTTTATTACTTTGCAGATTTTGAATAATTATGTGAGATATAATAAACACTTAAGTAAGACTTAAGTTTATTTTGATGTTAATACTTTTGTACTTTCACTTGAGTAACTTCTTGCAATTTCTGTCAGATAATTAAATTGAAACCACACACTATAACGTAATCGTACGTGATTTTTCTTATTAATTTCTGTGAATATCCTCACCTTAAATGTTGAGGCCCTCTATGGTTTTAAACAAGACTGTAATTTTTTCATCATGAAATATAACAATGTTTGCTTCATAGTCTCTCCAAAATACCGGCAGTGGCTCAGTCAGTAGGGGCTCGGACTTGGGGCTGTAGGGTCGCCGGTTCAAATCCCCGACCAGACCTAAAATATGGAGTGTGGACTGCTACTTGGAGAGGTCCCAGTTCACCTCCTGCCCTGCCGTGGTGCCCTTGAACAAGGCACCGGACACCCCCCTTCCCCCCCTCACTCCCATTGCTCCCCAGGCGCCGTACAATAGCTGCCCACTGCTCCTAGTACTAGACTCCTGGTAGGATGGGTTAAATGCAGAGAACACATTTCACTGTGTGTGCTGTGTGCTCTGCATGTGTGACCATTAAAGAGGGTTTCTTCCCTCCCTATTCTATACCATACTTTATGAGATGTTTGACTAATAGGCCTCCTGTTAAATGTGTTTATGTTTTGATCTAATTATGGCATTAGATTTATTTAATTTTATGTGGAAATATACTGGATAAATAACATATGGATAAACAAAACTGAACAAGGCAAATTATATAAATAGAAAAGGAGACATGTAATGCTGCAAACAATTCAGAGCTGAAAAACTATTCTGAGATTTAGCCGAGCAGGAGTATTTTCTAATTGTGAAACAAAAAGGACAATAGCTCATAATCTTTATGGATTTTACACACTACTGATATACAATGTATAGTTCAATCAATCAATCAATCAATCAATGTTTATTTATATAGCCCAATATCACAAATGTTACATTTGTCTCAGTGGACTTCACAGTTTGTACAGAATATCAGTATGACAATACGACACCCTCTGTCCTTAGACCCTCACATCGTACAAGGAAAAACTTCCAGAGAAAAACCCCACAGTTTAAAGGGGAAAATGGGAGAAACCTCAGGGAGAGCAACAGAGGAGGGATCCCTCTCCCAGGACGGACAGACGTGCAATAGATGCCGTGTGTAAATCGAAGAGATAATACATTTTACAGCATAGGTAGACCAAATGTTTGGAAATGCATGTGTCTGTAATAATAAGAATAATCCACGAGGATGTCAACAATCCTGTGGGAGCCATCAGGGAAGTATGATGAGAGTCAGGCAGGACCGCAGAGACAGGTTCAGCCACGACTCGAAGTCCAGGACTCAAATCCAGAACTCAGGATAGAGGATCCAGGACACAGGAGCCAGGACACATGACTCAGGATCCAGGACACAGGACCACAGCAACAGGATCAGCCACGACTCAGGATCCCGGCGTAGATAGACACCAAAAAGAAATTTGGCGGAAGCTGGGTTATTCGGAACATGAGAGTACACAGGTACAGACAGAGAGAAGGAAGAAGTAAGGTGTCCCCCGACAGTCTAAGCCTACAGCAGCTAAACTAACGTGTCTACGTATATGCACTCCCTTAGGTTGAGGGAAAGGGGTAGCAAGTAAGAAGTAAGGAACAGTGGTGGAGAGGCACAACGTGTCTACATACATGCACTCCCTTAGGATAGGTTGAGGGAAAAGGGTAGTAAGTAAGAAGTAGGGAACAGAGGTGGAGAGGCACAACGTGTCTCCATACATGCACTCCCTTAGGATAGGTTGAGGGAGAAGGGTAGCAAGTAAGAAGTAAGGAACAGAGGTGGAGAGGCACAACGTGTCTACGTACATGCACTCCCTTAGGATAGGGTGAAGGAAAAGAGTATGGAATTAAGATGTATGCGCCACATCTATACCATGAGCACATTGCTCCTAAAAAGTGTTTTGGTACTGACACCATTCAAGTTGTGCGTCGACTCGGCAGGGATCAAGGCACGTATATGCCTCTCCCTGCTTCCACCGTCTACACACACAACCAATTTGCATCTATACCATGAGTGCATTGCCCCTAAAAAGTGTTTCTGGCACTGACACCAATCAACAGTTATGCGTCGACTCGGCAGGGATCAAGGCACGCATATGCCTCTCCCTGCTTCCACCGTCTACACACACCACCACAACCAAATAGTTGTTGTTTTTAGGTTTTATTTTAAGTTTTTACTTATAACTGGGTTTATAAATGTTCAGTAAAGGATTCTTAATAATGCCATAGGCCTATATTGTAACTCTGCCACTGTACTATGCTGGATGTAACTCCTGCATACATACAAAATAAGTTTATTCAAATAAATATTCAAGCTGGTTAAATGAAGTTTCACATTTTTTAAAGTCCGTTTAAATCAATAATAAGGTGCACTGCTCTTATTTGAAAAGAAAAGAGTAATACATGCATTTTCCACTAGGTGGTAGTCTAATAACATAAAATACACTAACCCTGCAAATACCTAATAAGAAGTATTGAGGATGAGAAATAGAAAGCCACAAGGTAAATCTTTAAATTCCATTTATTATATATTTATATATGGGTTATAAACATCACAAAATAGAAAGTTCCAGAAGGTCTTGCACAAAGATATATATAATCAAGTAAAAGAGCAACCTTATTAGTCAACAGCGGCATTGGAAGCAGGCATAGCATCATATCTGGGTTCAGTGCTGCAGCTGTTAGGAACATTCTTGTTTTATAATTTATGTTTTAGTGCAAACAAAGTCTTTGCAGCTCTTGGCTCCAGGGAATTCTTTAATATTCATAATAAAATAGCATTTTACAATATAGATGTTAAGGTTGCTCTTTTATTGCATATAGTTTAAGAACTGGTGTATTAGTTACAATAAGGTCTCAAGATCATGATGTTCAAATTATCTAATATTCAATATATATAATATACCTCTTTTATTTCTAAGCATCAAATGGTTTCTCTTTAACATAATACATTTTATTATAAGCAATATCCATATTAAAATACCTGAATAAAAATAACATGCTTTAAGCAAAATAATTGTTCATTTACATCAGTATTTCAAACAACCTAAGTCAAGATCTCCCAAGCGTTAAGAAACAGCTAAATCATTACATACATTGCCTTTTGTCAAATGCATTTTTTTTCCGACAGAAGGCCACTTTCAAACAAAGCAATTCCTACGAGAATGACATCAAGTCTTACCACAAGATGATATAAGTTCCAACTTAAAATCTTAATGAAGTGGGAAACAAATAGTTGGTTTGATTGTACTTCATATTCTATCAAACAAAAATGAATATGGTAATAATAAAAAGTTTCCACATAACTATAGTATACTTAGGAAAAAATACTTAGAAACAGCTGTAATATTACAACCACTGTAACAAGGTATAATATACATTTCTTATATAACATTTGTTGGAGAAATCAATAATGGATGAATGTTTCAGGCTGTGCCTACTATATTGTGTTGGCATTGAGATGTGTACTTCATAAATAGTGTGTGCTTCATACATTGTCAGTTGAAACTGCACAAAACATACACGTTCAAATCTTAAACACCTGGATAACTTGCCTAGTCTACATGCAGGCTATAAACTCTTCTGAGTGCAACAGGATCCAAACCAAGCCAAAAACAACAACATCGGGCAACCTTTAAAAGTGAGAGCATATTGGCCTGTGGGTGTGTGTGTGTGTGTGTGTGTGTGTGTGTGTGTGTGTGTGTGTGTGTGTGTGTGTGTGTGTGTGTGTGTGTGTGTGTGTGTGTGTGTGTGTGTGTGTGTGTGTGTGTGTGTGTGTGTGTGTGGAGACAGAGAGAAATAAGAGAAGACAGAAAGAGAGATTGATCACATACTATATAAACATGTTCCCATATCAATGTCCAATTTGCTAAACAACACCATGTATTTACAGCATGTACAGTTGCTGACATCATAATCTTTACGGTTTAGTGCTCTACTATATAATATCATCCAAGAGGTGAGGGGTACCCACCCAGTCCAGTGTTCTTGGCTCGGACGCAGCCATGATCATGCACATAAACTGTTTACCTGTTCTCCGATCTATTGGGTAAATTGTAGTAGGAGTGAATCTTTTGTTGCTCTCCACAAACTCACACAGCTGATTATAGATTTTGGGGTACTCGTGTCGGAGGAAGACTCCTCTCGTCCTGAGCTCCCGCTGGATGTTGACAAAGCACACCTCTCTGGCTTTCCTCCCCTTCTCCCCTTCTTTGTCAATGTCCGGTGTGCCTGGAGGCGGAGTGAGGATGAGGGTTTCCATTTCACTATCCTTCCTGAGTACCTTTTTGTCAGGGCTTGAGGAGGCCAGGGAAACCTTTGCATATTTTCGAACTGTTGGTGCTTGGACCCTTGGTGAAGGTCTGTTAGGCACTAGTTCACCAACAGCTACAGATACATTCAGAAGGAAACATTCATTGGGGTCATACTCATTACCTGCCAGCTGCAGATCCTTGCAGTATTCGCCTAGGTTGTCCTTAAAGCCATCCAGCTCTCTGAGAGATAAGTATGTGGGAGACATGAGGAGGCTCTCAAGCCCCACTTGGAGGAAGTTGTCAGCGGTCTCTGGATTAGCAAAACCCAGAAACAGAACTCCTCTCCCCCTGGACAGGTAGCCAGCTTTAGCAACGCGAGAGAAGGCTTTGTGGATCTCTGAATTCTCTCTGCAGAACTTAAGAGAGTGGCGGCACACGCTGGTCACCCGGCCATACAGACAGGTCTCTTTATGGATCTCCCAATCATCCCTGCGACAGTTTCGTGAACAGTAAAATGTGTAGCAACTGTGGCATGATTTGAAGTACAAGCAGGCATTGAACATACTCTCAACCCGGTTGCACTTTTTGTTAGCGCACACCATAGTGTCGTCTTCATCTGTGCTATGGTCTGGAGAACATTCTTCTGCACTCCTTTGAAAAGCATCACATCCACTATCAAGGTCTTTGAGTGTGTCTGGGCTGGATTTGGAGGATGGGAGTTGTGAGTTGAAGTTTTCAATACCAGAAGAGTCCCTGTCTTTGCCGTCATCTTCAGTAATGAGTTGTTTCAGCTGGTCTAAAAGGTCAACGCTTGATTTTCTGCTAGTTGGTGGTTTGTAATCAATCACCAAATCAGCTAAGAGTTCGTCCAGTTGCTCTAGACTCTGCTGGAGGGAGAAGTTGTTGTGTTTCCTCTCTTTGGTTATGTCAGGTGTATTTTGTTGCTGCTTAGGAGGCGATACTCTCTGAGATGGTTTCTTTTCACCGTCCAACATATCCCAGCTGACAGTGTGCACATCTCGCCGCTTTCTGCCGGCAGATATGTCATTATCTGTTATGGTGATCTCAGGAGTTACAAACCAGTGGCCGCTCTTGGTATTCCTCCACGGATTGCTTGAGCCCCTTTCTAAAGAGCTTTCAGAGAGCGAAAGGGCAGCATAGCGCCTTGGTGAACTTGAGAGGTTAAGAATAACAGGCTGTGATGTCACATCAAAGGATGGTGCTTGCTTTGCTTGATGAAACAGGTTTTCATAGCTCCGTCCACGAGGCACTGATTGCTCCCTTTCGTGCCGTGGATATAGAATATTGTCCCAAGACTTTGAGTGGTTTTTGACCTCTGCTCCTAGTTTACTTGTCTCCGAACAGCTGTTAGTAAACCACGGAGGAATACTGGGGTCTTGCCTAACTCTTGGTGGTGTGAGCTGAGAAGACTGGTTAGAGTAACCAGATATACTTGAGCGATACCAGTCATCTGAAAAGGCCTGCGACATTCGCGGGCGTCGACGACCCTCCGTATGGTATGGCCTTGGTGGATAGTACTGCTCCTCAGGAGAGCACGGTTTTGAATAAAACAACCTTGAGTTACTCATATGGTAGGGATCGAACCGGTTCTCCTCTCCATAGTAAGATCTAGACAGTGGAGTTTGAGAAAAGTATGATCCTGCCTCACTTGTGGAGTAAGGCCTATTATATACAGAGTGTGCTGGCTCTCTGTTAGAAACGTTTTCTGTGAAATAGGACCTGACAGGAAGGGTGTGCACCCATCGAGTCCTTGGATCATACTGACTAGTGACTGTACTACCATGGCTGGTTAGACTGGACCGGTCATCCTGAATGTATGCTCTAGAGTAGGGATGGACAGGATACCGAACAGGGTCCTCGGTATAGAAGAACTTAGTTGGTATATTAGGATTTGAGTAAGCTCTTTGTTCCTGACTCAGATATGGTGCTGTTGGTGAAGGCATTCTTTGCATGTCTAGATGCTGGTATGAGATGGGAGACATACTGGTGGTATAGTGGTATCCTTGTCTAAAATCTCCACTGTAGCATTCGCTAGGAGTGGGCGTTGGAGAGGAGACAATCTGTCGAGGTACATACAAACCTCTACTGCTACTGGCCTGGGAGAATCTCTGCCAAGGATGATCAGTCCGTGCATTGGGAACCTGCCTAGATGTATGCTGCAGTACAGCAGCGTCCGGTTTAATGTCCACACGGCACCTGACATGAGGGGTTATAGCTGGTTTATCTGGTTTATTCCCATCAAAACAGTCTGAGACATAGAGAGGAGACTGAGGCTGCAGTTTGATAGGGTGCACCTCATTCAAAAAAGCCTTATTTGAAGAGAAGGATTCTCTATGTGTTTCAGAAGTCCTCAAGGTATCTGACGCAGCCTGAGACGCATCCCTCCCGTTCCTGTCTCTGGGAGGAGACACTGAGATGGGCACAGGAGTGAGGGTGGACTTAATTCTTGGAGCACTTCTAGATCTTGTTCTCTTTTTAGAGTCTGACCATGTAGGATTGCTTGTTTTGTCCTGGGTGGTTTGCTGCTGGAACTGCCTGGTGTTGAACAGATCGGGAGACGAAAAGCGCAGGTACCCCGGTTGATCTATTCCATTCCACATTTGGTCTTTATGTAATGTCGGATTCTCAGTCCTCTTGTAAGGGTACTCCATTGATGAAGAGAGGGACTGTGGGTCATCCAGTGACTCAATGAAGTCAAAGCTGCGGCAGTGTCTTTTGTTAATGATTTCTGGTTTGTCGATCATCTTCAAGTCACATTGCTGGGAGGAGTGGACAGAAAAGGTGTGGTTGGTGATGGGATTAGAGAAGTCCTGATATAGAGTTGATGCCAGTATATCTGGGGGATGTGTTCTTGTCATCTTAAAGTAACCTCCATTCACTGTGATTCAAGATCAACACAACCTGTAGAAAAAAGAGAGAGAAGAAAACAAATACATTTCAATGCAATTTAATGTACAGATGTGAGGTAAATGTTCTGCAAAAAAGAGAATGTTGTTTAAAGAAGTAGTCGCATGAGTTTATGAAACAAGATTGCAATTAACATGTTTAAATCATTCATCAAATCAATTATTTGTATTCAACAATTAATTAAACACATTGAATCAGATGTTCATATATTAAATGTAAACTGAAACTTGAATATATATATAAATATATAACCAATTAACAACATTACAGTAAGAAGTGTATTTTCATTCTAGTGTGTCTGAGTGGGCATACTTGTTTTTATATATTTTTTATTTCAAAGGCAGTGCAACAAAGCATATTTTATTTATACCGTTTCAATTATTCAAATATTAAATAAATGATGTAACCACAACTGCTGTCAATCTCTGCTTCAAGAATCCTGAGTATTTTTAAAGGCCTTGAAATATTTTTATTTGAAGACAATAATGTTTCTGTTTCCCCAATGGATGTACAGTATGTGTCATGGGCTTCCTTGTTGGCACACATCCACGAGCTAACCCTGAGTTACCATCTGTTCACCGTGATGAGAGAGGACTGACCAACCATCTCCCTCTCCTGTCTCCACAACACCCCTCAATATCACGTCCTTTCACACACGAGCAACCATGACAGACAAACCATTATTGTTATTCTCTGCTTTACTTAGAATTTAAAGTTACAGAAACATATTATAAGATATGTGAATTTGTGCTGCTCCAAATCAAAATAAAGTAAATGTCTACAGTTTATGTATGTCATTTAAAAATACTGTTTCTAGATTTGCATGAATGTTAGTAGGTAAAAGCATTACAAATGAATAACAGATCACCGATTTATGTGGGAAGATGGATTAGCTACATTTAAGATCATAATTTGTTCATACATCAATCCGTTTCTCCTTATATTTTTTATTAGCGTTCTTTTCCGATTACATTAGATAGTAATAAATACTTTTAAATCATGTTATAGTGTTTGTGTGTCAGATGCTCAAGTAATCAAATGCCTTAATTTGTCCAACAATTGTATGGCAATGTATGAAGTAACTGCATTGCAATTTAAGAGCAAATTACCAAATGTTGTGAAATGCTTTAATAAAAATATATTTTATAATAAGTCTGCTGTTCTTAAAACTACAGGTAACATAATTGTACTATGACCAGCTGCTCCATCACCGCTGTGACTAATGCTCAGTAATATATTAATGGCTCAATGTCATTATGATATGAATACCATCTGGGACAAATATCGTGTCACTTGTGCTAATGTAGGAGGGATAAGTTCATCACTAATACCCCATCAGTGAATAATATAAAAATAAAGACAGAGTACCTAAGTTTGAACTTGCCAATATAGATGAAAAAAGTTCCTTAGATCAATCTTGCTTTTATTCTCCTTATTCTCTGAGGTTAAATGAATGAGGTGAGATGTCAGCAAGATGGAAAGGGCCTTGGTGAGTGAATGTTATTAAACAGCGTAACAAAATAGGCCAAATAAGGTGCAGGATGGGAAGGCTGAACACTCAGTGAGTAGTTCGCTTCTACAATTTACAGTATCACTCAAACAGCTATCCAATACATTTTATCAAATTAAGTTGTAAAAGGAGATATGGATGGTTTAGCAAGGCTACAGTAAAGAAAAGCCCTGCTAAGCTGCTCTACAAGTCCCAATAGGCACATTGCAGTATATATGTGCCACTAGAGATTAATAACACATCTGAAATAATTATGTAGGTTTCGAATAGGTCAATATAAACTTCTGACAACCAAAGACACACATGTTGAGCACTTTTCTACTTTTCTAGTATATATATATATATATATATATATATATATATATATATATATATATATATATATATATATATATATATATATATTTATAAGTGTTAATGAGTAAGGATAGAAGATAAGACTAAATAGCACATTTGTATTTAAAATGAGAGGACAGGATTAAAAGCTTAGGGCAAACTAAACACATGCATTTCTTCCTCTACTCATCCTCATGGTCTAAGGCTGTTCTTGAATAGAGGGACTACACTTTCTTGCACAAGTAAAACCACATGCCACATACTGTCTCCATGGCTACAGCACACAGCAAAGAAACCATGAAACACTCCTGGAGTTGCATACTGAGCTAGGGCACAAATTCAGTCTGAAAAAATAACCAAAGAATTGGCTTATTGTTGTATGTGTGAGGGTAAAATCCATCTGTGACAACAAGTGCAACTTTACATTGACCTTATCAGAAGATGTACTCATGATATTGATATAATAGCTTATTTATAGAACCAAAGGCTGTATTTTCCTGTGCTTTATTTTTTTTTGTTGTGTGATGTTTTATTCATGCAGTTAAATAAAAAAAATGACTGAGTTGTTAGTGTGAGACTAAAACTATAAACTTGGACTGTATTCTTCCATTTTGCAAGGTTTTTGAGACAATACCAAATGTGATGCAGATTCGCCTGAAACGTCCCCATGGGGCCATGCCGAGGCGCATTCAGCCTTGAAGCGTTACCAAATACTTGCTCTACGCACCCCTTTTATTTTGGTGCTGCGGCACGAACGGCCCTCCATCCTTTGCGACTGACCTAATGCCTTTGAGCCCCGAATGACATCATTTGCTGATAAAGAAGAAAGCAGCTGATTCAAACCGGGATGGATCCCGCCGAGATAGAGGGAATGAGTTCGGCTAAGTTTTTTAAAAAGGAAAGATTTTACGAGAGGGGCCTTACCTCCTCGCCAGTGAGCAGATCGGATGCGGGGGACATGGTGGAGCTTGTTCCCTGCGAGGAGCAGCTTCTCTCCTACCGCACCTGCTGTGAGTCTCCCGGAGCAAAGCACTCGTCCCTCATCCTGCCTACATGTTGTCTTCACCCGACGATGCTCTCGCACTCTTGGTTTCGCGTGTGTGTACGTGTGTTTGTGTGTGATGGAGGACTGGAGGAGGTGTGTCTGTGAGTCTGCGCTTGGGTGCGTGCCTCTCCGGAGGCGTGGTTGTGCGTGTTTTATGAGGAGGGAGGGAGGGAGGAGGGGTTGGGGGTGTTGAAAGAGGCTGGGTGAGTGATCAGTCTCGGAGCAGCAATGCGGTCGTCTCTCCGCTCATCTCCGAACAAGGAGACCTGAAGACAATTGCATGGGCATTTCCGGGAGGACTGCTGGATGTTTGGTCTTCCTGTAGTGTAAGGAGCAGCTTCCTTCATCCTGAAGCAAAGTGTTATTGATTTATAGGCCTACTTTTTCTGTTCTTTTTTTTTTACAAGTTTGCAGACAAACAAAATTAGGCCTCTCCCACACTTGACTGGTCACTTCTGGTCTTCCTCCTACACTGTTGCACATGCATTATACATTGTGCCAACATGCTGTTATTCAGGACTTTACTGTGATGGAAGTAGATATGTGATGTAAGGCTGCTAAGAATTGTTTTCATTATCCTTAACCACCACACATTTTCTTAGGTCATTTATTAAATGTTTGGTCCATAACATTGTAAAAATGTCTGTTATCATTTCAGATAGCCGAAGGAGACATCTTCAAATGGCTTATTTTATTCGACTAACAGCCCAAAATCCAAAGACATTTGCATATGTAACAAAGAAAATCATATAATCGTCGCACTAGCTCTTTATTTGTCATAATAAAACAAATCACAGGAAGTATACAATACCTAAAGGAAAACAAATAGATGACAAAAACCCCTGAGGGCTAAAGGAACCCACCTAACATTGAAATGAAAGATTGACAAATTATGCTTGACACCATTTTGCAAACATACATGAACAAATAAGTATAAAAAATACATAAAAGTAAAATTTCCCAAAAATATATACTAGAAAAAGGTATGGTAGAGCGGGTCAGAAATAAGAGCAAAGATTACAATAACACATAATTATGTATATATTATGTTCACGTCTTTCATACCACATTTGCAGTGTATGTCATTATGAAAAGTTGTTTAAGATGTATTTTAAAATCAGAAGTTACAGGTGACTGCATGCAGACAGATATGGAGCTGAAATCCTAAAACGTATAGCTCAAACTGACACCTTAAAGTACCTTCTTGTAATCCATGGTAACATTCTTTAATACAACATGTTTTTGAACAACACATTGTCTTTGTTGTTTGCAATCTTGCAAGATTAAAATTCAGTTACATGATTCTCCTCTCCTGCTCTGTGTCGCACACATCTGCCCAAAAGTCTCACCCCACAACAGGCTTCTGCATTGTCTGAATTGATGATAGGGACAGCTGGCTGTGAGCCCCAGCCGGGAGCATGTGACTGCCGCTGGAAAACTGCTTACTGAAGCACTCTCAAGGCAGATAGAAATCACTGCCGACAAACTATGCTGATCGGGCTGAAGATCGCAATGATATTTAGCTTTGACAGAGCTCATTTTGTAACAGGACAGACAGCTTTACACTGCTTACACACAGCAGATCCGATCTTTTTTTCTGTTATCTATACTTTTCCTGCATCTTTGTTACAAAACACCACAGCTAACCGAGCCTCCATCTGTGACATACCACGTGTATGAGATATGATTCAGAATGACAGTACAGTGAATCTCACATTGTAAAGCATCCAGCATCCCTGAGAGTGGGATCTATCTGAGCATGTGTGACTCACCCTCTCCAACACAGTGCATTGGTTTGGCATCAGTTTGTGTCAGCTGTTGGTTTGCAGGCATAAGTGTCTGTCAGCTGGCTGCTAGCAGGTGTCTCGGGCACCTTGTAGGCTCTGTGGAGAGGAAATCAATGGCTCCCTGTAGATTAGAGGCCGCTTTGACAGGGATCAATCAGGTTTATACTTTCACAAAGTAACAACATTAAGGCAGAACACTGCTTCGCTTTACGCCTCGATTGCTGAAACAAGCCTTCACGCTGCTTTGACATATCTGCAATAATGAGCCATAAGGAAGAATCTGGACGTTCTGCTTTGTTCTTGCACTGTTTCGCTTTGATGCTGGCACAGTAAACAACTGTCAGTTCTCCAGCTGTCTCCAATTAACTCTACGTAAGATTAAGTGACTCTCTACAAACTTTTCCTTCTGATTTCTCTGTTCCCATTGGAGGGAATTACATAAGAGATGCAGGGATGCGCACAGCAAGGCCCATTTGCTTACAAAGTCCATCCCAAAATAGCCAATGTGGCAGGGTAATACAAAGTACCTCTCAGAATCGGTTATTTTGGAGTGTAATGATATGTCAGAGGAAACAAGGAAAATGAATTAGAAAGCCACTTTAAGGCAAATGCATTTCAACTAGACTCTTTCACAAGGAATCTCCATGGAAGCTGGGGATGTTATCCACTGTCGCTGGAGTGGTGAATATTTCAAACGGCCAGAATTAGACCTCTTAGATAGACATATGTCTGAATGTGGGTGGTTCCCTCAGATATTACAGGACCTTTCAATGCCTTTTATAAAATATGTATACACTGATTCGGTGGACTCAGAAGGGAGTGAAATGCAGCAGCTGTGAATCTAAACACTCAGTGGGAGATGCACCAGTCTTCCCTTAATTCCAAATGAAACCTGGTTAAGTCTTCAACAAATTAAACCACTCAATCTGCTCCAGCCCATATAGAACGCTTGCCATTTAGACCAAGTGCTTCTGTGAGGATTAGATGCGGCCACGTTAAGTATTTGGATATTTTGGCTCAACAGAGAACCGAAGAATCCACATTGGCGTAGCTTGGATTCCTGGTCGATCAAAGTAGATTATTTTCAGAAGATTTTAGGCTTTTCCTGAATGCACTTTAGTGTCTACAGTCACTCTTACTAGTATCCTCATGTAGCTAACACTGCATGTTGTAACAGTGGCACATTTCAAAAGATCCCTGCATGGAGAAACCTTTAACCTCTGTGTTTTGAGAATGGACAGCAGGACTTTTACTCATAACAGAGTATTCCTACACTAGAGTACAAGATCTGAGTACTAATAAATAAATAATAATAACAAATAATACACCCATAGTTTATGGTCATTAAAATCACAAAATCAAAATATAAAAATGCATATTATAATGCACTTTTGCCAGTAGATATAGTTTGATCCTACACACTGCACCCGCTGCTGCAGATGTTCTACCAGTCTGTGTACTCTCCTTTGCCGTGGTGTGCTGGGGGGGAAACACCGACAAAAGATATAAGATTTGCACTGTTTGAATATGACTTTCACCTGCACTCGCATCTGCACACATACATGTACATATATTTAACAGTCCTAACTCAACTGATCCGTTTTTTACCTTGTTATTGTGTGTTTTTCAAACCGTTACTTACATGTAAAATCGTATTATTTATTGTATTATCCTTGTGTGAACTCTTATCTGTACTGTCCTGTGTTTCAATCTTACTCTGTTGCTGATACAACACCTGCATTTGAACACCTGGAGGTCTATCTCATCTCATCTCTAAAGAATAGAAAACAATTGAATAGAATAACCAATACAATGTCGTTTTCCCAGGCTTAATTAGCACATTTTGTTTACTTTGGCTGCACAAAAAAAGAACATTCCTATCCCCTCCAAGTAATACTCATAAACAAATTCATCTACAAGCCAAACCATTTGGGAGCGGTATCCATGGTAACCAACACTGAGTAGGAGCAAAAGAGACTGAATTGATTTCAAAGGGAGTGAAGTAAAGCACTGATGGGAGTCTTCCATGGAGACCATAAAAAATCTACGTCACGAGGATGAGACATAGGGAGGTGAAAATTGCTTGTCAACCTTCGACAATCTGCAAATGCATCGCAGGAGGGATTGAGCAGTGTAGCTTCGTAACTGCACATGTAATAGAAACATGGAGTGTCGTTGTCTCTTCTGTCCAAGATTATCTCCAGCAGAGGTTGACAATTTAAAGATAACATAAGGTTTACCATAAGGAGACCCCCTCTGGCGGCCTCACGGTGAACAAATGACGAGAAGAAGGACTCATCTGGGCATATTCTTAGATCCTCCTGTTAGTACATGTAGGTCAAAGTAAGAATAGAGTAGATATTATTCACAGCTGCACTGAGCAAACACAAACTCCTCTGTCCTGGTCTCTGGACTCACAGTAAGACATCCCCATGGTGAGTCTTAATTAAATGTTTACTACACACTCCTCTTTCATCCTTCATCATTTGCTAATTTGGCATCAGGAATCACTTGGTCATGTGTGCAACTTTATTAGAGAGGAATGCATTTGGAACGAAGGGGCCTCTCACCGGGTGCAGTTTCTTTCCGAGGCGTCCTGATGGTGTGAATTATTTGTGGTTGTGCATTGTCACTAGGATATTGTTATGTAACACAACAAGGAAACAGAATGCAGCTACATTACATTCTGAGTGTTTCATCAGATTTTCAAACTGTGACTGGGGTCAGCAGTAGGTTTTATAATGCAGGGCTGTCATTAAGGCCCTGCTATTCAAGACTGGGCAGACAACAAATCTTTTGTTCCTCAGTTAGGAAGAATCAATGAGGTCCTTCTAAATATGTATATCTCTCTCTCCCCATCCCACAACAGTACAATGCAAAGCAGTACTGAGTTGCACTAATTGTCCGAAGCTGTAAGCCATGTATAATAGCTGTAGCAGTCACTGTTTCACACACAAAGAATGCGATCTAATTTCTGAATTAAACAACAAATTGTGGCCTGACACATTTCTTCTTCCTTCATAAAAGAATGATCGAGAACACTTGGTTGTAGGTTTTCTGTTCAAGTATTTGAAATGAATACAAACAAATGTGACCTCGTTGTCTGGAATCTTCCCCATTCAGACCCTGCATAGTTTCCACACACACCCATCAAATTACATGTGCAGATCAGTTTTGACACCTAATGTATGTAATTAGGCTTTAAGGTTGGCAGTTGCAGCCATCCATATGCACCTGTGCTCGCAGCTTTTTCCTGGCTGTTTAAATGGGTCAGCTCTGGAAATATCCTTGCTCAG